GGTCAGTGAAATGAAGTGGCAGAGTGAGCCACAAGTGAAGGAATTGATATTAATAAAAAGTGGAATTTAGGGATGTTGAAGGGGAAATTGGAGCAAAAAAACAACCAATCCACCCAACATATTCAGCAATTAAATAAACAAATTACAGCCCTAACTATTTTGGCTGATAAGAGAAAAAAAGATTTAGAAAGAGAAAAACAAGCCCTTATTACTTTGGCTAAACAAAAAATTGCTAATAAAAAAGAGGCTGGGGAGTTGGTGAAGCAATTGGAGGAAAAATGACAGCAAGATAAAGAGGAATGGAACCAAGAGAAAAAAGAATTAATCGAACAATTACAGCAAGATTACCAAACTAAATTAACCACCCAAGAACAAACTCATGCCACTAATCGAAAAACCTGACAAGAATATTTAAAAGAAAAAGAAAGTAAAATAACCGAGCAAGAGAAAAAAATAAAAAGATTAGAACAGATTAAGGATAATTCACAACAGGCCCTTATTGAATTACAAAACCAAGAAAAAGAATTGATCAAGAAAAGTGGAAAGTTGGAGCAGGAATTAGTCCTTAAAAATAATTGAGGTGATAATAATTTACCCCAACTTAAACAAGAATTATTTAGCCAAGCACAAGCAACTTTTAATCAATTAAAAGAACAATTAACTAAATCTACTGTTGTTTGAGGTAGAAAAGAGGTTGGTAAGAAATTAGAGGAGTTGGAGGAGTTTTTTGAGGAGCAAAAAAAAAAAAAAAACAGATAATTATGAGTGAGGGTAATGAGGATAAGGAAAAAAATACCAAAAATAATTTTATGAAAAATATTTGGTTTGATAAATCTTTTGGAAAGTGTTATCTAAATGAATGCGAGGGAGAAGTTGATATCGGAGCAATTGAGAAAAAAATAAACTGTAAAATAAAAGAAGTTTACTTAGAAGAAAACAGCAAAAATATCTCTTTGACTAATTATTCTTTACCTCTGAGACTTAATTTTTATGATAGTGTGCGTTCGTTAGAAGAATTAAAAGAAATTGTTAATTTAAACTGGCTTCATGATAACAAAGAAGTGTCGCTTTCAGTTAGTAACGTTGAAAAAAATTTACTCGCCGAACACGCTACTGACCCTTTTATTCGAAAAACAGCCTGGAATTTAGTCAGTGGCAGAGGAAATAGAATTTGTGTTGTCTATGGCATTGAACGACTAATTGATATCTCAGATTTAGACCAAATTATTGACAATTATGATTATAGTCGTTTTGCCGGGATGAGAGCAGGAAATGAAGAAGACGTTGAATATCACCAAAAACTTTTTGGAGGAAGAGAAAAGTTCGCAGAACTTTACACGGCTTTCGATAATTTGTCTAATAGAATTAAAGCCCGCAATTTAATCATTGTTTCTCGTCTATTAGCCGATAAGGAGGATTTGGCAGCCGGTAAATATCAACTTTACGAAGAAAAAATGA